ATTGTTTCCGTCGTCAAGCCTAGATAAACCAAATCTCATTAGAGATTTCAACAAAACTTCGAAAAAACTGGGCCATTAAAAATCTATTCTCTCACATTCAAGGGGAATATGAATGTCAGAACAAGTAGAAATTATGTTGTTGTTGTTATTATTATTATTATTATTATTATTATTATTATTATTATTTACTTTTATAATATATCAGAAAGTGGATATTAAAGCACCACTGAAAAATGTAAAAAATTATCTACTTCTTCCCCATTTTCAGAAAGCAATAAAAAACCAGAAAATATTTAAAGGTTTATTCTGTTTCCTTTAGCAATTTTTTTGTTTTACATTCGAATCAAAAAATAAAAAAGGGGTAGAATAGCTTACCTGAGGGGAGAGAACGTCTCATTGGAGCTCGTTTCACCAAGATTCTAATGGTCTCTAGGACCTTGCATATTAGTTTCTGGCCTAGATATGGGTATTAAGTCGTAGATCGTGAGGTTTTGAGTGGTTTGAGGTCGCTCAACTGTCGACGGTTACCGGAGTTTGAAGAAGCCGAAAGGTCGAGTCCTTTTTGAATTATTTGAGGGTTATTTATAGTGTCTCATTCGTCAGGTTTGGTGTTAGGAGGTTAGATCATATTTTAAAAGATTATTTTGGGTGTTAGGGTTTGTCCAACCACCACTCATGGTTGCTAGCGGTGTTGTCTTGACAAGGCTTCGGTTCTTGATTGAGTAGAGGGAAATGAGAGAGTTGAGAGAGTTGAGAGAGTTTTAGTTTTATTTTTTAGGTTATTAGGTTAAAAAAGAAAAAAAGAAAAAAGAAAGTGTCTTTTATACTAAAAGGTTAGGGGTGAATAACGTATTAGTCCTCAAACTTTTATCGTGTTTTTGCACTTTAGTCCTGGTTTTGTTTTTTATTTTAGTTTCGAAACTATTGTCCTCATTTTGTGATTTTTTTTCTATTTTGGTTGAGATATATAATTGGTAGAATTGCATTGTGATCCCTTTAACTCTTTCGTATTTTTGCATTTTGGTCACCTCTAGTGACTGTTTTGATTTTATTTTAATCTTGTTGGTCTGATTTTTTAATTTTCATATTTCATTTATTAGTGAATTTAGGCTTATAAAAATGGGACAATCATGCTTTAACCCCTCTTATTTTAGCATGTATTTACGTTAAGTCACTGACTTAATTCTAATTTTTTATGCTTAATTTTGATTGGTTTTAATTTGGTCACTATGTTGATTAGTATGTTTTATTAAGATACGGTCCCTAGACTATTCAGTTTGTTTTAGTTTAGTCCTTAATTAATTTGTTGTTAAATTAACCCTAATATTAATTTCATGTTATAAATTTATTTGGTAATTTGTAAATAAATAGTTAATCTTTAAAATCAATTTTGTATAGTTTTAGCATTTTTTTTATTTTTTAAATGCTTGTTTGTTTATGTTTCTAAGGATTAATCTCTAAGCTCAGGTTGCTTAGTTTAGTTATCAATTAGAGCCTTAGATTTTTATATTTAAACCTTAGATTTAGATTTCTCACACTTAGACTATAATTTAGGGAATAATTTGATTTAGCTCTCGCATTTAGATGCCTGAGGGCTCATTTCAATTATTTGATTCAATAAAAAGGATAATTAATTAGGGTTAATAATTAGAGCCTTAACCTTTGACTTTTCACACTTTAGTCTTTGAGCTTTTAATTAGACATTCTTTTAACATAATTAATTAGAGCTTCCACTTTAGGTTAGATTTCAATCTAGTCCTTTAATTTATGGAGTAATCTAAGTTGACCCTCGCCTAAATGCCCAAGGGACCATCTCGATTATTCAATTCAATAATTTGTTAAAATCATCTAGGATTAATATTAGAGACCTCACTTTAGGATTAGTCCTTAGGTTCTCTAATTTTCATAAATTGACACCTTAAATTAAGAAATCCTTAATAAACTCACTTAGTATAATTAGGTTCTTAAACCTGATGATTGATTGCATTTCTCTTTCAAACATAAGATAATGTTGACTTATTAAGGAATTAATGGTATAATTCCCGCAATCATGCTTTGGGTGACTACTAGTAATTCCCGAAGTAGATCAACATCCTTTTAAAAACACATTCATTTTTTAAATCTTGAGGAAATATCTGGTTATTGAGCACAATAATTGATCTCCCACATTCATGCTAGGGTGAAGTTTATTGGATTTAATAAACGAGCACCCTCTTCAATCTTGCATCCATAATGATTTTTAAATTAAATAAAACTTCGAACTCCAAATTTCCAAATTCTAAAATATAGGGTAATCGACTAGGTACCAATTTCTAGGCGTTGTGGGGTGCTAATCATTCCCCATGCGTAACTGACTCTCGAACTTGATCTCTGGTTTTCACAGTCCCAAACTTGGTATTTTTTAATGAAATAAAATGTTTAATTAAAATTACTCGATTTTTCATGTTCCAATCGCATCCTAAAATGATTAGTGGCGAGTTCCAACATTTCATAAAACTTTTTCAAATAAAACTTCTAAATCATACTAGTTTTTTCCCACTCGGACGAAAAATTGTGCCGACAAATTGAAAATTTTGATCGATTCTCCATTGTTTGGAATGATTAAAAGGTTGGTGGTATGCTGTGAGGCCCTGAAGACACTTGTGTATTTTACTTGGTTGACGAAGATGTTTAATTACCTAAATTTCTGAGCCTATTCGATATGAGCCAGCTCAATCATAAAAAGTATTTTAACAAGTAAAAATTATACATAAATATAGAAAATAACAAATTATCTAAAACTAATTTCGGTATAAATGTGAGTATTAAGTCTTTTGATATTATAATTTCAAAAGAAAATATATAATTTGTACGTTGAATTTCAATTCATTTACAGCTAGGAGTGAGCATTCGATCAGTTTAGTTAAAAAAATTTAAAGTTATTCGAGTTATCGAGTCGTATTTTAAACTCGAAATTAACTTATTTTTTCCTAGTCAAGTCAAGTTTAAGAAATTCGATTCGAGTTATTTGAGTGTTTATACAAATTTAATTATAATTATTTAAACTATTATAGTACGAATTTACTCCAAATTTTCAACTTTATCTAACCACACACTCTCTTGTGTATATATAGGCGCAGAATCCGCTTACACTATTTAAAATAATAAGTTTTACATTAATTTATAACTATTAGATTTAAATAAATAAATGGCTTAAATTAAAATTTGCAACTCATAAATATATAGTTTTTAACTCACAACAAAACAATCTTTTTTTCTTCAATCCCAAATCTCAAACCCTAAAATCTTAGACCCTAAAACTCTTACCTAAACTCAAATCTTAAATCCCAAATCTTAAATCTTAAACCTTAAAGTTTAAATACTAAATCCTAATCTTCAAAAGAAAAAAATTATTTATTGTGAGTTAAAGAAATATTTATTTATGAATTATAAATTTTAATTAAATCTAAGTTTTTTATTTATTTAAATTTAATGGCTATAAATTGGTGCAAAACTCTTTTAGTTTTACGCCTTTTTAGGATCATTAGCTTGAAGAAAATCAAAGGGTGGGATTACAGTAGAAATAAGAATATATTCATTGTGGGGAGCAAATAGTTAATCTTATCCTTTGATTTCCCTCAAATCAACAATCATAAAAAGGTGTAAATCTTTTATATTTACACTAGGTGTAAGTGGATCCTAACCATGTGTGCGTTATCCACTTACATTGTGTTTAGTTTTACACCTTTTTAGAATCGTTGAATTGAGAGAAATTAAATATTGAGATAATTATTTATTTTTTTAGTGAATATCTTCTCATTTTCTAATGTTAATCTTAGCCTTTAATTTTTCTCATCCAATGGTCCTAAAAAGGTATAAAACTAAAAGAGTTTTACACAGTGTAATTAGCTAGGATCCAATTACATAGTGTAAAAATAAAAAGTTTTACACCTTTTTAGGATCATTAGATGAGAGAAAATCAATGGCTGAGATTAACATAACAAAATGAGAACCAACGAATGTCTTCTCATTTCGTATTGTTAATCTCAGCCTTTGATTTCCCTTCATCCAACAATCCAAAAAAGGTGTAAAACTAACAATTTTACATTAAGTATAAGTGGATGCTAACCCTATATATATTCATATTCTTTTTTACATTACGACATTAATATATCACATGTAATCTAAAATTATGAAATATATTTATAAATTATATTTCAAAAAAATTTATTTTGAGGATAAAAAAATTAATGGGAGTATAAATGAGTCAAAGTATTTATTGAAGAAAGAATTTGTAAACAATTGTAGTTAAAAGACTAAATTGAGTCAAATGCAAATTTAAAGGACTAAATTAAAAAAGAGATTATATTTTTAGTAGAAAAATAACAATAAAAGTTACATAGGTATTCTATAGTGGTATGGGAGTATGTGATTTAAATTTGGTAAAACGTAATTAAAATAAAGGATGATTTGAAGAAATATGGAAATCATACAAAATTGAGGGACTAAATTTAAAAGAATAGAATTTTTATCAAAAAATGGGATTGAAACTACATATGTATTCCACGATGGTTTAGGAGCATGTGGTCCAAACAAATTTAACTTAAAATGGAGGAACTAAAGGAATAGGAAATCGAGGACCAAATCTTAAATTTGTTAAAATAATCATCCCAATTTTAGGTTTTTCAAGTTATACGAAATTTTAAAATTTAAACTCGATTTGAAATCCGAATTGATAATTCGAGTTAACTCGGATAACTCAAAATAATAAAAAAATTGATTTTTCGAGTCGAATCAAGTTTTGTTCTCCCTATTTACCGCCCTAAATTCATTCTATCAAAAAAATATTAAAAAAATTAAATTAACAATATCATGTAAGATCATTATTTAAGTGTCCATTTGTAGAATATCCACCATGTATAAACATAACTATGATATAATTGAAAAAACAAAACATAAATATGATAAGTATATTATATAATATATAGAGATAAAAGAATTCTAACAAAAAAAGAACAAAATTATCCCTGAAATCAAACACCCAACTATAATCCAAACATTACCAAAGATCAACTCCATAATCACAATCCTTTGATACAATCTTGGACGCCGCCGTTAACTTGTCGACCGTTAACTTGCACGTCACTTTAACAGTAATTTTCCATGTCTTAATGGATTCAACTTTAATCTTAACCGGCGCCCTCAGCTTCAAAGTAAACGGCACCGTTCCCTGCTTCTGACCATTGGAAAGGGACCTAAGCGTGGCGTTGGTTAGTTCGATACGGGAGCCTTTTAATGCAGTTTTGAACAATGTTACGTTATTGGTCGGCTGGTAAAAAGCCGGCAAGGCGCCGTTACAGAGGTTAACGCCTTCGTAGTAGATTTTAACGGAGCTGCCTTTCTCGTAGTAAATGCCGATTTTGTCGTTGGGATTGTGTGCTCGGACGGTGACGTCGAATTCTGGATTGAGCGGAGACGGTGATGTCAGGTTGAATCCCTTGATGGCCACGTTATCAACGGAGTAGTTCGGAGCTTCGGGCTTGAAAACGAAATAGATCACGGCGGCAGCAATGGCGGCGGCGAGGAGGAGAGAGAGGATCGTGGTCAAGAAGCAGCAACAGCAGCGGAAACAGGTGCCGCGGCTGGACTTACGTTTGGAAAGATGAGCGTAACGGCGGGCGTTCTCCGGAGGAGGGACGCGGTAGACTTGGTCCTTGGGGATTTGGATGACGTAAGTTCCGGGTTGTGGAATAGGCTTATCCTCCATAGTCGGTGCAGGTTTTGGAGACGGACGTTCATCGGAGGATGGTGGTGAACCGCGGGGGTGGACTCTTTCGGCCATCGTGCTGTCTGCTGTGCGTTTTTGAGAGAGCTTTGTTGAAGAATCAAAGACAATATTTTGGACTATGATAATGAGCTGGGTATTTATTGAGCTCAAAGAGCGTAGTGTGTTTCCTCACCTTCTTGGCAGCTTGCGTTTATCTTCTTTTGGTTGGTTTCCGCGTGGGATTGGAATGTAAGACAGTTGGCACTGCTCCCTGTCCTTTTCTCTTCCATTTCATTAGGTTTATTTTACTTGGTGTCTAAGATCACAGTAGAAGCGCGTTGGCAGTCAACTCGCCAATCGCCACTTTGTACACACCTGTTTCTATTTTTTCTTACGCATGTGGAGAAAAATCAGAAAATAGAATCCATAATTAAATGCGAAATTAATGATGGGATTTACATTTGGTCCTTCCTTTTATAGTTGGGCAAGGCAGGCTACCCGTTTTGTAAAGAAAATTTCAAAGCTAAGGAGCCATTGGCAACCACCAGCCAAATAGCCCCCCCAAACCTTTTTCAATACCTGAAACAGCCTGAGACGGGTTCTTCCACATCCGCCACGTTTCCCCTCCTTTTCCTGTTGGCTACTTCTAGGGTATGAATCAACATTTGATCCACTCGACTAAACAAATTTAAGTTTAATAATTTAATTTTATTCAAGTTTCTAAGATTTAAGTTGAATTATACGAATTTTTATTTAAATTTAATAATAAATATTTACAATATTTTGATACTGATGAATTCTAAATTAAATGACTTTCTATAACCATATACACAACAACAATAAAACCCTATTCTCATATATAATGGGATAAGGGGATGTACGATAATAAGCTGGGCCTAAAGGCAAGGCTGGCCCTATAACCATATATGATATACATATATATTTCTTTATATTTTTATACGCAATATACATATATCATGCAAAGTGGAGGGACTCGACTTAAATTTTACTTGATTTTTTTCAAGTCAAATTAAGTTTATAAAATTTTGAGTCATGCTTTTTTAGCATCGAGTCAAGTTGAGTTTTACTCACCACTATTCTATTACGGTAACAACCTTTAATTTAAGGTAAATAAAATAATATTATAATTTTATTTAAAATGTATGTATTATTATAATATTTCTAACATTTTTAAGTGTATATTTAAAGTATTATCAATTTATATGTATATATACATAGATTAATATAACTAAAAGTACATAAAACAGTTATATAGTATAACTTTATCAACTATCTTCCCTAAATTTAAAATGTGACATTTCAATAATCAAATGTTTAATTAAAACAGGGTAAAGTATATAAATAGTCTCCGAACTTTTAGGATGCTTACATTTTGGTTATCTAATTTTTGAAACTTGCAATATAGTTTTAGTTTGTTTTCATTTCGGTCCCTGCCATTATCTCCCGTTAGTTTTTGTTGACGTGGGACTTAACCCCGTTAACTTTCTGATGTGGCATCTTCTTATTCTTCTTCTTCTCACATACTCTCTCAATGAAATCTCATATCCAAAACCTTTTCATTTCTTGAATTCTTTCTCTCTCTCTCTCTCTATTTTCCCAAGAAAAATTAGCTTCTCTCTCTATTTTATCGGGAAAAAGAATCAAAGAGATTATTTTACCCTAAATATAAACTACAACTAAATAATCTCTTTGATTCTTTTCCCGAGAAAGTAGAGAGAGAAGCTTAATTTTCTTGGGAAAATAGAGAGAGAGAATTCAAGAAATAATAAGGTTTTAGATATGAGATTTCATTGAGAGAGTGTGTGAGGAGGAGAAGAAGAAGAAGAAAGAAGGAAGATGAAGAAGAGAAAGAAGAAGAAACAACCACGTCAGTAAAAAGTAACGGGAGGTAACGAAAGAGACCAAAATGAAAACGAACTAAAAGTTTGATACTATATTGCAAGTTATAAAGTTGGATGATCAAAATGCAACGCCCTAAAAGTTCGGGGACTATTTATACTTTACCCTTAAAAAAATAAAATCATTAATAATTCTTGAGATAGAATATAAAAGTAAGCTACCTTTCTCCTAAAAAAAGGTTTTAAAAGTAGAAAAATGATAGAACACTTTCATGGATGATAAGTGGTTTATATCACGAGAATATACGTATTGAACTCGTAACAATTTGCATTACATAGTTTTATTTACCGACTATCTTTTTCTGATTGTTTAAGAAAGTAATGCGGTCGACTTTTGGATGAGTATATTTTTTAGTTACATTATTTTAATTGTTTAAGGAGGTGTGATTAGTGGAAATGAGAATTGGTAGAGAAAGATTGTATCAATATGGCTAAGGAGATGTATGTATTATCGAGGAAAGATGTTTTCATCTTAAAATCTGAATTTTTTATATTATTGTTTATTTTACTAAAGTGTTCAGACTAAAATTTTATTTGTATCATCCTATTTGGATTTTTATTAATACATATGTGTCCAAAAATATATTTTTGGATCCGACATTGAAAAACATGAATAGATGGATAACATATTATATATTTTATTACATCAGGAAAAAAAGGGAGCTTAAAAAAATCAGAAGTAGCTCACGGAGGTCTCGTAACACACATGATTCCCTAAAAAATGTCAAACCTAATAAGTAATAATTTATTACTATTATCATATCTGTTAGATTCATTTCTCATAAATATTATTTCATTTTGAATTTATATATTTTTCGATCCCTTTTTGGCCAACTGAAGCTAAATCAGGTTATGTAATACCAAATTTAAATGTATGAATTTTTTGTAAGGAATTTTGCACATAAAGCAAGAAATGTTTTAAACGTAAAAAAAATAAAAATGAAAGCATCACACCAGATGAGAAGATGCAGGTTCCATTATTCATGAAAGTGAGATGGTGATGATGATGGTCAATTAAGGCATCGTCATCGTCATCTTATTCTTCCCATCAACAATTGTGGGTGTAAAGCTCACATGGGGGATGGCCAATAACAGGATGTCATTCCATAATCCATATCCACTACGTACCCAACAAAACACTCGTAATCAGATTCCTACACATGATAGTGGTAGAAACTGGTTCCAAGAAGAAGACAAAAGGCGTAAATCAAGGTAAAAACACACATACAAAGACAATAAACCTAACTTATTTATAAGACAGTGACATCCTATGTTTCTAGCTACTATACTTGCTAAACTTCTAAGGCTACACGCAAGGCGGAAAAATACAATACCACAGTAAAATAGAAAAGTTTCAGCTAGTGCATGTTTTCGCTAGGTCGTCTTACTGGAACCAGATTGAAGCATCCTGCTTTGCCATGGTGGTGCCCGTCCCGATTGCTTGGAGATCTTCCTTGTAATCGAAACAAGAGAGATCAAATGGAGACCCAAAGACCGATGAGAAGTTATAGTTATTCTGGTTGGTCTCGAACGGAGAATTAAAGCCCTTGAACCGGTTAAATTGACCTACTTGCGGAACCATCTGATGATTGTTGAGAATGCCGGATTCCTCAAAGTTTCCTTCCACCTTGGCTCCTTGAATGTGAAAGTATTCATCCTGTTGCTGTTGGATTTTCATTTGAAAAATATTTTGACCATCTGAAACTGGATTGTTATTTGGATTCATGTTCTTGTTGTCTTGAATGTTGTTATCGTATATCGACATGAGTTCATGGATTGATTTCTTCCCATCTTCTGGAACTCCAAGCCCTGAAAGATCAAATGTCGGAACGGAAGTAACCGCAGGGGCGATTGGGTTGGATTGAGCAAATGCTTGAGGTAAAATCACTGGTTTCACTTCGTTAACATTAAAATTCGAACCACCAAACAGTGCAGAGGAGTTCTGATACGGACAAGTTAATTGATGATTATCCCTGGCAGTCCTGTCATTAAAACCCAATCGAATTTCACTGTAGGGACATTGGAGGAACTCGCAAGTGTAGATCTTGTGTTCCACCACCATGTTTAAATCATTGCACGGTTTCCTCTTTCGCATAAAATCTGAATTATTGACTTCTCCCTTGATAGTATAAGGTGGTTGTTGGACAGCCCTCATTCGATCCACCCCAAATTCAGATGAATTAAGATTCCCAGGTTTGAATTCCTGCACATCGAAGTTTGGCTCCTCTTCATCCCTTCAGCATCATACTTGCTGCAGTCGTTTATAACCAAAGACCCACTTCCTCCACCCGATGATAAAGGTGGACAGGACTCAGGGTAAAGCTCTCGAGCCAAGGCCTCCTCCTGGTTAATGATGGCAAGCCAAGTTGCACTTTCCTTTGCTGTCATCTTGTCCTGCAAACACTTTGACTGCCTCACAAGCTTGCGAATCTTGGCTATATCTGGAGACATATGCTTGATTACGGCGGTGAGAACTCCAACTTTCCAAGCCTTCTTTAGGTCATGAGGTTTCTTATAAGGAGGGCCTTGATCTTTGGGCAATCCAAGATGCGGCCACCATTCCTCGTTTCCAGTAGGCCACCACGGTGGGTGAATACCTTTCTCTAAAGGATATCGCCTCTGAGGAGGATTGCAATGCTGCATCAGCGCTGACAAAAGAGAACCGAGTGTTGTATCTTGAAGCTCTTGCAAGGTGTACGGTGTCGGACCAATCGAGTTACACCCATCATTGTTGCCGGGAATCGAATTATCAGCCTGGTACATGGAAATAGCAGCAGGGCCATTACGATCAAACCTGACTTTATCTTTCCACCATTCCCGAAGATTATCAGATGCCCCGGTCACCGGCTTTCCTTTCTCCGGAATTATCCCATATACGAAACCTTGAGCCTTGCACACTTCCATCATCTTCAACATGTACTTCAATATCCCATCTTGCGCCCTCGACATCTTCTTTTTCCTTGCCTGTTCTTGAGACTGTCTCTGTTTCGCAGCATCGACCACCCCTTCCTTGCTTTTGTTCTGTTCTTTAAGCGTTTGAGACGCATCTTGTCCCTCCACATCCTCTCTCCAGTTCATCCTCGTCAATTTCCTCATCACTATAATCATCTTCCACCGCGGCATCCGGTTCAGTATGTGAAGCCACCATGGCCGCCGCCGCAACCGCCACATCTTTTTCTCCAAAGGGAGCACTGAAAAAATCCATATCCCCACAAATTCCCATATCATCGAACACCATCATTATTCCAGGATAGAACCCAAATCACTTCAAAGATTTCTTTGTTAACCTGAATTAATAATAATTTGGTTAATGAAAACTCAGCTGATACACTTCAGATCTCCACGCAATTATTATCATTTTTTTATTTTTTTAAACATCAGATAAAATCAAGACCTCGATTTTATCAATCAATAATCAAAAACCCAGATCGAGCACAATTAAACAATTAAAAACTCAACTGTATAAAGCAAACAAAAAAAAGTATCTTTATCAACCACAGATAAAAACCCAACACAGAAAAATATCAGAAGAACAAAAGTATAAGGATTAATGATCAAAACCCATATCAGAAAAAAAAAAGCAGTAGAACATATAGATCCACTCAACCATATCTAAAAACAAGACTTACCTGGAATAACCCAGATTTTCGCTAATTCCACAAAGCTGAAAGAAGTGAACTCCGAAACACTAGAAGGTTTTCCAAAAAAAGAGAGGAATATGATCCCTTCAGTTATACATATTGGAACTTTTTCTACTGCTATTGAATAGAGGGTGGTGGCTACTTGTCTTTCCTGTTGGCGACTGCGAAAGGATATATAGGATGGAAAGAAAAAGAAAGAAAGTGGGAGAAATTATTGAGGATTTTTAATATAAAAATCAAAACATCATGAAGTTGAGAGCACAAAGACTTTGGATTAAATAGCAAGGAGGAAGAAAAAGAATTTAAAGTATCAATTTTATTATTTTCGAAGAAAAGTAAACAGACGTCGGGTTTATCCAGTCCGATTGCTTCTTCAGACAAAAAAGTATACGTTTTTCGTAGAGAAATTGTTTTTATTAATATATATAAAAAGGCCGAATTTCTTTTTTGATCCCTCTACCTTTAAAATCACATTAGTTTATCTAAATTAGGCGTATGTGGAAGAGGCCAAGCAAGCCGCTGACCCCTCTCTTTGTATTTTCTTTGATATATTTTTTTTAACATTTTTAATGCATAAAATAGTAAAAAAGTTATTTTTAACTTTAGAATTTATAATTCGATCTTTTTTATATCAGTTTTTTCCAATTTGAAATTCTTATGTTCTCTTAATTTAAATGGTTAAAACTATGGACTAGGATGTACTGGGTAAGGTTGGATTTTTAGTCTATCCGATTCTATTTGAAAATATGTATCCTTTGTCTAAATTCATTCTAATTCTAAAATTATATATTTTTCATCCGACTAAATCCAAAAATATATATCCTTCACCCTACTCCGTTTAAAATAAGGACTTAATTTAAATAATAATAATTTTTTAAAGGAAATTACATTATTATTGATGGGTTAGATCAAGTTAGAGTTTTTTTACCTTCCACCCGAACCCGACCTGATCCTGGATTTTTTTTAAATTGACCTTATAAAATTGGTTCCAATTAGAACTTATTAATTTCGGATTAACCATTCCTAATTAAAACTAAATTATTTATATTAAGATAGTGGCATATTTTTCTTAAAATATTCCATCCAACTCGTCATGGAAACATAAGATTTTTCATTATAAGAAGAGTTTTAAAAAAACATATATATATATATATATATATATATATATATACCATTTCTATTATATTTATTATTAAATTTAAAACATATAAGAATTGCATATAGATTACACCAAGTAACCTCAACAGTAATAGAAAATATTATTATCTATAAAAAAAATCAGATTTGAGTAACTACGTCTACGAGATATATGTGTTGTTAATAGTTAATTTTTTTAACATATATTATTTTATAATCACTTAAATTATTTAGAAAAGAATTTCATGTAATTTCAAAGAAAATTGTCTGACATAAAAGCTACGTTACATAAGACTATTTATTTTAGAATTTAGAGATCTTATGTAAAATTTAAGTTTTAGGAAATGAATTTTAAAGTTTCTGAATTAAAGTTTTAAAACTAAAATAATAATTCTATGAACTTGTGGATACCAAATCACTATTGAAGGTTTGAGTTTTTAATTATTTGATTTATTTACTGATAATAATAAGTTAAATATAATGATGAAATTTTGAGTATTATAAATGGATCTAGATCATAATTTGGCCGAGATGTATTTTACAGGACAGCACCGGAGCTGCCTCCAAATTATTTTAGGTAGGGATGGGCATAGGTAGAGCTGATTATATAGACTAAGGTCCGTGGGCTACCCGTTTAACTGTGACTCGTGCAAGCTTCGGACCTCAAAAATTGAAGATCGTTTAAATTACGGATTTTTTAACCCGGACCGTTAAACTCATGGGTTTAATAGGTATAACCGCGGGCTACCCGTTAAACCCGCTTAATTTAAAATTTATAAAATTTTAGAGAAAATAAACTTAAAGAATTTTATAGAAAAAGAAAATAAATTACCTATAAATATGATGTTACTTATTACTATTGTAGTTCTTAAATTTATTAGGGCGTTTGTCATAATTTTACCGTTGTTTGATTTTTTTCATTTAAATATACATCATTATCATTATGGTATTTAAAGATTTTTTATTTAATTTTGACCTTTATTTTTTTTTCATGAAGTATGTTATCCATTTTGTTCTTTAATTATAAAAAATAACGTGATATTCTAATAATATATCACATGACACGTAATATTTGGATTAAAAATAAAAAATAAAAGTAAAAGAAAAAATTAAAAACATACTTTTCAACTTTTAAAGACTTTTACAAAATAAATATATTTTAACAAATTAATGACTTATATTTTATCAATTTTAATATAACTGTATCTTTCAAATTTACTCTTATACTGTAAGTATTTTATTTTATATTTTCATATTATGTTTTAGTATTTCTCTAAAGTATCTATAAAATACAATTATTAAGAACACTTGACAACTTTCTTGTTAGATTTGTATAATATTTGATTTTGTTGAATTTTTATGTTTGAATTTATGCTTTCAGACACTTCTGTGTCTTCATATTATAGCATTGAATAATTGTGTTTTATAAAAGTATAATATGGTTACTGTTTTATTTTTTTCAATTTGGTGATATAAGTGAATATTGTTTTTTTAATTTGAGTTTAAGTAATTATATCATTATATATATATATATATATTAATGATTAAAAAATTAAAAAAATATTATTTTATAATCATTTCCGGCTATTTAAAATAAAATTTAAATATTATTTATTATTTTGACGGTGCTACCTTCCTTTTCAAGTTACTCGATCATTTTTAAAGGTGTAGTAAGTTAAAACATTATTTTTATTGCATTTAAAGCATTTAAAATTATTTTTATTAAACGGGCCGCGGGTAAGCCTGTTTAGCCCGCGGGTTAAATGGACGGGCCACGGGCCTTAAAATTCAAAACCGTTTATGAATGCGGGCTTTTTAGCCCGCTCCGTTTAAGCCCGCACCGTCAAAACCCGCGGGCTAAACGGGCGGGTAGCCCGTATACCCACCTCTAGGCATAGGTCAGTTTAGGTCGGTTTTTTGGTCTACCCGATCCGACCCGAAAATAATTAATATTCCATCCGAGATCCGACCCAACATGACCAAAACAAGATTTCAACCGACCCGATATATAACTTAAAAACCCGACCCGACCCGACCTAACCTAACCCGAAATAATAAAAAATATTATATATTTTTCGGATCAAATCGTATCGAATATTTTCACACTAAATCCAAACTTAACTCGACCTAAACTCGTTTTAAAAAAATATATATATCCGATCAAATTGAATTAAATCAAAAACCTTCAAATTCGGATATCATTTGCCCTTTTTATCCAAGGTTATCTCACCCTACTACTCAAGTAAATTTGCCCTTTTTAGAGGTCCTTTTATATCATTTAATTAAAAATAACTTTTATAGATTATATATATATATTTATTTTATTTACATATTTTAAAAATTCGATCAAAATAGATATTTAACAGTTTTGTTTCTATTATCATTTAATGTTGAATGACTGTAAAAAAAATTCTATTATCCAATAAATGCTTGATACATGATATATTTTCAAAATCTCTTTTAAGTTTATTTTCAAAAAACTCAAATAATTAACGAATTAAATTGTTTCGATGGTTAGAAAATCGTTATTAGATGATTGAACATTTATTATTAAATGATTAAAAATATTCAGAGTAAATTTTATTTTCTTTTTGAATGAATTCTTAATTATTACCAAAAAAAAAGCCGCCAAACATACTGCTACAGCAATACGAAACAAAACAAAACAAGAAAACCAAAGGCCTAATATGCCCCAAGCTATATAACCCAGTTGGTTAACTGCATCACTCCTATACTATTTTATAATCGTCTTAACTTAATAAAAAAATTTAAATAAGTAATTTTCTAAAATCTCCCTTAAATCCCTAAATTACTCAAAATACTTAAACCTCCTAAATTCCTAACCCCCAAAATTTTAAATCACATATGCCACTATCGAATCAATGATGACCAAACCCGAAAAACTGACCGGAAAAATCAACTCGAACCGCCCAATTAATTGATCTAGTTAACAACAATTTCAGGTGCATGCTTTAAACCTAGAGAAGTTCCAAATTGACATGAAAATATATGGCAAATAAGTGGGAAGCTATTTTAAGGATGCACACCAGTGGTAAACTTGTTGCTGCTATTACATCAAATACTAGCTTGTCTACACCACCTTAGGAAGAGCATCATAGTTTCAGTTACAAATACTAATAAATTCTGATTTACAGATACTTATATGAAGGATTGCATCTCACAAACCACATTTATAGTGTGATAATACACTCAAGATCTTGCGAGTACACAACTAATTCCAAGCTTTGTAGCATCACTTTGTCCTTCACGAGCAGTTTGTGTCGTAACTAGCAAGCCCCAACAACTCCGGACCTTCCAATCGAGGGTTTTTTCTCAAAACTATACGATTTGGAACAACGTTAAGATCAGTGACTTTGCGTACAAGAAAACAAAAGAAATGAAACTTAAAATAGGGAACAAAAATAAGTCAGAGAAAAACCCAAGAATAGAACTTCAAGTGGGGATGACATGAGGAATAGGCGCACATGTGAGAAGAAATGTCAATAACAAGGTAAAGCTTACCCAAAGGAAATGGAATAGAATCTATCGAGACTAGAAGAAAGCAGAGGTGCTATAAAGGTAATATAATTGCAGCAAAACATGCAGATACTTCTAAATTCCAGGTGAACAATCATTGTGCAACTCGATCGAAAATTATAAAGCAAGTAAAAGAAAAACACGGGCGAACTTACTTGTTTAGAGGAATGTGCTCAAATGGTCCACTGGTAGGAATTGTTCCACACAAATCATTCTTTGACATATCACTGGAAGAAAATAGGTAAAAAAAAAAATAGAACCGCAAGTTTAATGCTTTGCAAAATAGGACCAGAGAATTGTATTCTATAAAATAAATTGTCCAAAAAATTGCAAGACTTACACAACTTTAGGCAAAACCCCAATAAGTTCCCTAGGGATAGGTCCAGTTAGTCTGTTGTCATTAAGTCGCATGTAAAATGAAACAATAATGAGAGTCAGCGATTACATTTTTTTGGTACAAAGGAGACCAAGGCCTAGGGGCAATTGGGGTAGGCTGGTAGCAGAATTGAGAAGTGTCGAGAGGATCGAAATCTAGCCTTGTAGGAATTCAACTTCTAAGGGAGGATGGTGAACAATTTGGGCTGAACCCAGGTTCAAAGACCAGTGATTAGATGTTACAATGATACATGAACTAATATGCAGAGAATAAGAAATGAAAAATGACTAATATTCCAGTTTACGGCACGAGATAACTAAGAATGGAGTAATCATGGTAGCACAAAAGAAATTAGGAACACAAATAGATAAAGCCATTATGTTACGCTTATAGATTAGTTAAGTCCCAAATTATCTATCATCTAATCCGTCGTCGATTTTTCTAGTCAAGCTCATAAGGGAAGGCAGCAGTGAGAAATAAAAACATTCACAATAGTCTAATCCTGCATGAAAAGACAAACAATGGACTTGAACACACACAAGAATACGAGAGACTTCAGTTTCCCAAGCGAAGGAGGCATGGTGCCGGAGATGTTGTATAGATCCAATCTGATAAGGCTCTTCAAGTTCCCAAGTTCAGTAGGGATGGTTCCTTGGATGTTATTTTTGTTCCATGCGTTAAAGAAATGAGTCCGAAATAAATAACGTTGAATATCTACAGTAGTATCCAACAAGTTAACATTTGTACAAATGTAGATATTAAGGGCAAGTGAAAAAAACTTCAAGAGAAAAGTAGAACATACAAATATTGCAAATGTTGAAGCCTCCCAAGTTCTGGTACCAAATGTCCTGATAGGTGTGTATTACCTAAATCTCTTTAAAAAAGGAACCAAAATAAACCATAAGAGATTAGCATCGAAAAAAATATTATGACACGTGTCATTTTCGTGTCAAAATAATTCATTAATCCCAAAAGAAATATAAAGAAAATATAACAAGTGGAAAGTAAGGGTCGATCTCATAGAGACTGCAATTTCTGATGTAGTTATATTTTTGTTTATGAACGGTAGAGTTTGTATAGGGATGAAATTTAAGATTAAAAAAATAAATAAAAATATAAAGATAAAAGGTGAGATAAGAATAAGATAAATAGGGGGATTTTGAAAATACTGTTCGATAATAAGATAAAGACAAATAATAAAAAATAATAAATAGAATAAAATAGTAATTGGATTTTGAAAAGAAGACTTATTGTAAAAGTAGCATTATGCTTTCAGCTTTGACTCAGTTTCCTTAGATCATCGAAATAGATCTTTACGTCAGGATTCACGCCTGTTACTTGTCTACAAGGACAAATCCTTGTGACTATGCTTTGTACACCGAATACCCAAGTACAATCTTTAATATCGGTTTGTGAATTGATCTAAGCAACAACAATGTTGTAGATCTAAAAATGTTAAGGCTCGAAAAGATACCGACTCGAATTATGTTATTTCGATAATAATTGGTTCCGATCTCAGTCTCCTCTTAGCAAACAATTTTGCTAAGTGTGTTCCCAGGAAGTCGAATGTGCTTAAATAAGCTGATCCTTCCTCCCATGTTAACTATAACAACATCCAGACCAACGTCGACTTTTTGGTTTTGAAAATTGTTTTGATTTGAAAATAAGCCCAAAAAACAAAGAGAGATATCTGAAGCGATTTAAGTGTCTTGCAATTCTCACGTTTGAAATTGAAGGATTGCTTTAGCCTTCGCTTAAAAGAAAATTAGCTAAGCATGACAAAAGTCATGCTTATGCTTAGCATGTTTAAAAATAAAACTTAAAATAAAATAGAAAAATGAAAACTTGAAAAGAAAAGAAAATAGAGAACTTTATAAAACTAGAAAGAAGAAGAAGAGTAAATTCTCAATTATAGATATGTGTTTTAGGCTTACCATGATAGGGTATTTATAGCCTTCAAAATCCTAAAAACAAGGTAAAGATAAATCCTAAAATAAAGAAATAAATCCTAATGAAAATACTTAAAACTATTTAAACTAAAATACTAAAAACAAAGAGAAGATACAATATAATATTTAAAATAATATCCTAAAACATGACTTCAATTCAAATTTGAATTGCAGAAACGTGCAGCTGATCCATTCGTTCTTCTAGAAGCGCTGACTAGACCTTCTAGAAGGTGATGACTTATCGCCTCGTCAGATGTGTCATGCCTACTGATCCAGCTTTGATTCCAAAAATAAAAAACCGCAAAATTCTACCCTTTAAGTGCATTTTCCAGAATCTAATGTCATGTACAGAAAATGAATCAAAACGAACAAATAACCCACAAAAACCAACAATTAATGAGAAATTTAAAAGTAAAATAATAACCAAATAAAGAACCTATCAAATTCCCTCTCACTTATTCAATTCTTGTCCTCAAGCATTCCTCAATTAACATATCAAAACCACAAGTTGTCATCTTCAATTTCAATTTATTTTTATTTTTAAACTTCCAATCGAACTAAGTCCATGACAATTGCCGAATTCAAGTTACAATCAAGCTAAGACACAACTAGTAAAATTTAAAGCAAACAAGATATTCCAATTAATTGCCAACTTCAATGAAACATGACTCAATAACTCACAAAGATTCACACATATCCGCTCAAAGTATTTAGGGTAAATGAAATCGCTAAAACCAAAACTAGCCAAAATATTACCATAGGCTTGAAATCCAATCAAGCCTTCACTACTAAAAGTGAACATAATGCAATAATCAAGGGGTCTTTAATCTAGGTTGTAACGTGGCTAAGGTATGGGTAGGGAAAAAGGCCGAAAAGAAAGGTTTAAAATGTCAAAACAAGAGATCAAAATAATTAGGAACAATCCACGAACTAACATGAAGCATAATAAAAAATAAAACAAGAAAAAATAATAGATAAAAGACAATTGAAACGATCAATTTCTCCTTCTTCTTTTTCTTTTCATTTGAACAAAGTGTTTTTTTTCCAGTTCGAAATAGTGAACAATGTACTTTTTTACGATTTTTTTTCATTTTTTGTGGGACAAGAATGATACAAGATCTAAAGTTTAGGCAAGGGTGTGAAAAGAGAGGGAAAAATAAAAAGAAAGGCTTCAGGTTTAATTTGGTGAGTTGAAAATCAAACAAAGGGAAATAGGCTCAAATGTGGTTCACTAGTGAATATATAAATGGGTAAGATTTTTGGGGAAAATGGGTTTATCTTAGGTGCCCCTATCACATTAAAACATTATGCCCAACATTTAATCTCGTTATGCATTGTGATTACAAGTTCTAGAATATCCTAATTAGTCCGGCACACTCAAATCAAACAATGAGCAAGAAAGAAAATATATGCTCATTTAGGCTCGAATCTTGCAAGACATGTTTACATGCACTGAGTCAAGTTCATCTCTATCAACAAAAGCATGAAATAACTATACTCAACAAAAAATTCACCAGCTATACCAATCACCTTCATACAAATTAAATTTGATCAAAACATGGTTATAATACAAAAGGAAGCAGGAGTAAAAAGTGGAGTTCAAGATGAGTAACTAAAGATTCCAACATATCAATTTCAGAATAACTCAATTTAAAAAAATAAAGAGAGGGTAAAAGAAAAAGAAATACTAACCAATCTAGTGGCGACCGCGGCCATGACCACGTTGAGACGAGCCCGTGAGAAGGTAAGAAAGAACCTCAGCAAGGTTGGCTTCAATAGCGTTAAGGGGACCAGACACACCTTGCATCTCGTATCATATATCCGATTGTGTGCTAGCTGCCGGAGGTGATTCAGTTCTCCTCATGTACACGCGCCCATTACGAGGTGTAATGGTGTCGGGAGGTATAATGTAAGGGACAGCGAGAGTGCCTGTGAGAAGTCCTATCGAGTCAAAATGCCTAGCATCAAGTGGATCCATAGCAAAATCATAAGTAAAATTCATAGTGTCAAAGGTCAATGGAAATAAACGGGATGCTAAATGTCACATAAAAATATCAGATAACCATGGTCTGTGAAATCAGTCATGAACCCCATAGAGAAGTTAAAATCATTTAATGACATCTTAAAGTATTGACCTAGCAGCCGAAAAGCAATAACATCGGGTGTATTGATAGAAACAACACAACGCTACAGAAAAATAAAAGTGGTATATAACTCAAAGACTAACTCGTAATAAGTATCACATCTAATATTTGAATAGAGTGTCCAACCAATTGCATCAAAATAGTGCATCACAGCATCACGTAAATGTAAAGTGTCAAGTGTACGACATGGAATATACTTACAAAGTTGAAACCTACAGTGACGAATACTATTAAAACTCCTAGCCTTGTTGCTATTAAAGTGTCAAGTGTATGACATGGAATATACGACATAAAGTAGAATGTTGGGGTGGTCGGTGATGAAGGTATGGACGGTCGTGGATTACTCAGATCGGTGGCATGATGGTGGAAAAAGGTGGAACGACCGGCGAACGAAGAAGCGGCTGTGGTTTCATACATGGGCACTAGAACTCTCGGTGGAGAGCCTTGCGGTCGACGTCTACTACAACAAGGAGGATTTGGAGTGGGAAGCGAGTTAGAATTGCTCAGAACGTCGACGATAGTCAGAGCGGCGTGTCATCTTCCAAGGTTGAGCAACACAGGAACTCCCTGATTTCTTGGTTGCATGTTCACACCATCTTGCAAAGAAGATAAAACAAAGTAGGCTGGAGTGGAGGTGGTGGTACAACGAATCAACGGTGAGGCGGTGAGGTGTGAGGAGACCGATTGGTTAAAAGAAGAAGATAGTGAATGTGTTATGCGACTGAGGGATTTGGAAAATTGGAAGAGATGAGATGGTTTTTTATTTTATGGGGAGGCTAGGTCACGTGTAATATAAAAAATAAAAAGAGAGAGTTTGACATTAAGTCAAACTAAAAAGGTAGAATCAAAATTGGGATAAAAGGGAAAATAAAAAAAATAGGGGTTTGGTTTTGGTTAGGTATAACCAGCCAAAAGAGAGTGTATTGAGATTGGTTTAAAATTATAGAAAAGTGTAGATAGTGATAGGTGAATAGATAAGGTGGGTCTCACTGAAAATTGAAAAAAATTAAACCCCTAAATTAGAAGTTTCGACAAAAGAGGAAAAGTTTTTAACTTGGGGAATACTAAGTGCACCACATGGGGTTGGGCTATGATAACATGCGTCTGTTTCTTGTCTCCATACGTGAGACATTGCTCCTTCATTATATATTCGATCGAAATTCGAATATGTTCACAGAAAAATAAAATAAAATAAAATAAAGCATATGATACAATAAAATAAAATGAAATGAAATAAATTAAAAATGAAATAAAGTATACAAAAAAATAATAATAAAAAATGAAAATGAAACAAAATGGGTTGCCTCCCATCAGACGCATTTGTTTAACGTCGTTAGCTCGACGACCTGATTTTTTTCAGACTGCGGGTTCCTCTTAATTTATTTCTTCGATTAGACTAACTGGAGCATTTTCATAATACGGTTTCAACCTTTTGATCATTATCTTTAAACCGAATTGCTTCATTATATTCAACTTCAACATCACCATGAAGAAATACTTGAGTTACTGTAAACGGTCCGAGCCACTTTGATATAAGTTTTCGTGCAAAAAGTTTAAATTTAGAGTTAAATAGTAAAACCTTTTGACCGACAGAAAAGGTTTTCAAAGAAATTCTATTTTCGTGGAATTCTTTTTTTTTATTTAAATATCCGAGAACTATCATAGACGTTTCTCCAGATTTCCTCAAGTTCTTGAATGTGTAATTTCTGAGTTTCACCAACCGCGTCCATGTTACAATGTTTAGCTGCCTAATATGTCTTGTGCTCTAATTCAACCGATAA